TTCCTCTTCTCTCTCTCTCTCTTCTCTCTCTCTCTCTCTCTCTCTCTCTTTCTCCTCCTCGTTCACCTCCTCGCGTGCGTGTGTGACGCACGCGAGTACTTTTTTATCTCGTGCGGCGGCCTTGCGGACGAACGCGCGCCCCGCGTTGTATCGAAACTTCGTCGCGCGCCTACGTACGATTTATTGTAAAAAAATCTCGCATTCTCACACGCTCATACGATAACGACATACATCGTCGGTGACAGCCCGTCGCCCGTTCCTCCGCTCGGAGACCGTGAATCTGACTCGATCCGCTGTGAATCAGCCTCGATATCGTCAAGCAGCCGATGAAAAGAAGAAGAGAAAGGGAAAGAAAGAAAACCCGATGGTTTCCGCTGGTCAAGCTAAATTTTTGCCAGGAATCGCAGTGCCGTCCATCGTCATACGGTATTTTTAAATTCGACCAGGCACGAGACGTGAATCGATTTCGATTTCGCATGATATCTCTTTCGATTTTTTGCTTTTTTTTTTTACTCTTTTTTTTTATTTTTCCTGCGTGCGTAACTCCGTACGGTCCGCCAAATACCGAGTCTTATTGATGATGTAATAAATATAGCGTGCGCGCGAGAAGGAGAGAATGAGAGAGAGAGAGAGAGAAAGACAGATGCTTGGCGCCTCCTTTATCGCACGTTTGTTTATTACACTTGTTACGTGTGTCGTGCTATCTATCGTCCTACTATTCTTGGCGCGGATCGAATGAGTCAGTCGCGCAACTTGAAAAAAGGCGACCCTGCGGTTATGGGGAGGAAAAAAGGAGGAGCGCTTTCCGAACCGGTGATCCACAACGAAGACCCCCGTCGGCGTCACTATTTTTTCTTGAGGTGCTGAACGTTTAATAAAATCGCACGTGGACCGCGCGGTACTGCCAATCCGACAATCTCGCGAAACACGCGTTAAATCGATGATTTTGTGAAAACGTAAATTTCTTCATTGTGGAGCGTTTTGTGCCTGATTTCGATTTGATAAATCGTCGCTTGCGCGAGATTGATCCTCTTGAATCCTTTTTTGTTGATAGGAATTTAAAATTCAGGATGAAAATTCGATCAATCTCATTGCACAGAAAAAGAATTAGTCTTGAATCGAGACAAATATTCTCATATATAAGAAAGAATATTTATCTTAAAAATTTTAATCTTGGTTTGATTGAATTTGTATTATTTTTGTTCATTTCTCAAGTTTAAAAATCTTCTATATGAAGATTATAATATCATGATTATAATATCATGCCACAGACCTGGAAAACTGGGAAAAGTCATAGAAATTTAAATTAGCCAAAGAAAACCTGGAAAAATCAAGAAAAATATAGAAAAGTCTGGAATTTTGAACTTTGTTGTGCTTTTGTTCTAAAAAATATTTATAATTTTTTCAGCGTTTTTATTTAGTTTAGTTTTAATCTCTCTTTCCCGTCATAACTACATTATTTTTTCAATATTCATTTATTTTTTGTTGACTTGAAATTTGCACTCAGTATTATATTATGTTACAATATTTCTAAGATTGTGTTACGTCTAACCATCTACTTTTCTCATATCTCTGCCTCTAAATATTAAAATTTAATATTATTAGTCATGGAAGATGTTCCACTCTCTGTAAAACATGGAAAAAGGTCAGAAAATTTCAAAATTCCATTTTCCATGATAACTCTGAATATTCTTGTTTATATAAGGATAATATTCTTATACATATAAGAATATTTATACTTAAATCGATATAAAAAAAAAAAAACGCAATCGAATTAAGATTCAAATTTTTCTAAGAAGATTATAATAGTCTTGCTTGTTTATGAGAATATACAGTCTTGATTCAAGCCTAATCTTTTTCTTCCGTGGGTGAAAAGTGAGTAAATAAATTTAATGAGGAAATCGCGGCAGGGAGAGGACCGTGTCGCGTTGCGTCATTCGACGGTCATGCTCGGGTGACGTTTGTCGCGCGCCTATCGGCTCGGTTTATTGACAAAGTCGCGAATTCTTGGCAGGCTGCAACGTAATTAGCCGACTGTGCCGGCTCGCACCGCGATCCCGCAACCGGCACCGCGGAAGAGTTATGCCACCGTCGAAAATATCCCGGACAGCGCGCTCGCGGATAACACCGGTGGAGGTGTTAAGCGAGGAGGTGTTAACACCGTCTTGTCCCCGCTCGTCGCGACGACGTAAACACCGTCGGCTAGACGCGAGATCGTCCAGCGGCTGCGAACTGCGTTGAGAGTCGACCGCCGCCGAGAGTTTTCACACCGCGGATCCCGGACGAGGACGAGGTCGAGGATGAGGGATACGTGATCCGCGGGCTGCGATCGATAGACTCTGACACGTCGTACGTCGCACGATTTTTGCTTGTTGAGACGAGAGGAATCCCCGCGGGAGTCCTTAAGGCTCCGCGGCTGAGACGCGATTCGTTTAAAATAGCCTCGGTTTCACCCCGCGCGAGATGTTGTTCCGACGTCAAACGAGCGAGCCCACCGGAAGTATCGCGAAGAACTCGGACGTGGCACAAGCCACGGGTTCCGGAGTCCTGACCAGCTGGTACACGAAGATCAAGAGGCGGCACACCTTCAACCCGAGATCCCTGCTGAAACGAACTCTGGTATTTTCCTCCTCCCTTTTTTTTTTTTTTTTGTTTCATAATTGATCTTTGGAAAGTCTTCCTAATCCTTAAATGCGCTTGGTCGCAGAAAGAATGGGAAGAAAGAATTGCATTTCTCACGATGTAGTTTCTTCCAAAGTCGAGAAGAACGTTAAATCTAACTTCTTTTTATCATCCTGTCTGAGATTGAAAAAGATTGACATTAATGTATCTACTTGTAAGCAACTTGCGACTTTGCGCCAAGTGTAATTCGCGGCTTAACGAGCGGATCTTTTTCCGCAAAGGAGTCACTATTATTTGTGGCGATAACGACAACCTCAATGACCACATTCGGAATGTGATTTAATTAATTCCTCTGTTTAATTCGCAGCTGCCGGTGGTGGATCCCTTCCTGGAGAAAGTTTCACTGTCCGATCTTGGTGAGTTCTGTTTGCGATAATTACACTAATCGCCGATGAATTCATCGCGTCGAACATTTTACATATTTTTAGGATATTGACGCTAAATCTAAAATCACAAAATTCCTATCGCGATTAAAAAAAACTTTTTATTTTTTAAATTTTTTTTTATGCAGCGATAGGAAGAGGAATAGACGAACTTTCATAACAAAAACGACGATTACGTTAACGCCTTTACAAAAAGGATTAAAATAAAACTCTAGAAGGGTTAAAGTGAAACTTTAACATATTGTTAAATTGCTAATTTTATTTTATTTCTGTTTTATATTGGAAGGTTTGAATTCAAAAATATATTCAAAATATTTATTCATAAATATATAAATAGTTATATATAAATAGTTTTTCATAAATATCGCATATTTCGCGTGTAATTAATATAATTGTTTATTGCAATTTTACTAAAATCTCTTACGTGACGTCAACAGATTTAATTTAATTTAGCCCATCAATTTTATGTTAAATCACTTTATTAGGTTCAGTTGTGCAAGTGTTATCTTTTCTAATTGCTCTTTTGGAAATCACTCGAGATGAGATTAGAACTTTTTTTCGTGTAAACCATATGAGTCACCGGAACATGTAAAAAACGTTGATAATCGGACCTGAATACCCGTCGTATAATTAGCGTAATCCAACCTGAATGCTCGTAATTAGTGAAACAAGGGAGTTCTTAAAGAACGGGATGTAGGATCTCATACGCAATTAAGATGTTAATTCGGATTCTATTCATCTTGAAGGGTTGAATATTAACCAGAGGCTGCAGATGTGTGGGTTTATGTGTGTGTGTGTGTGTGTGTGTACCTGTGCCTGTTAAAGAGAGAAATTTCCCTTTATCGGAAGAATGAACTTGGCATGTTCGACATTTGTTATAAAATTAACATTGATCAAAGACTCCACTGACAAAGATTCCGAGAAGTTAATTTCACTGGAAAGTCGCCGAGGATGTCCCTGAGGATGACAGGACGTCGCGTCTCGTCATTGCGTTCCCCTTCGTGCCGGCTTAATTAAGAATCATAGTACTCGTAAATATTACAAATATTTCTTTACGAATATCGTAACACGATATTCTAACGATTTAATTAAAAGTAATTTTCCGAAAGGAGAAGGCGTTTCTAACCTGAAGTGGATACACGCGTTGCTCGAGCAACAAGCGGAATCCGAGATCCTCCACGTGTTTCCCGAGCCTCGTATGGCTTTTCCCTTGAAATCGTGGTACTAGGTCTTCCGACGTGTCCTGGTGTACGGCCGCGATCGATGAGCTCCCGGGAGGCCAGCTGGCGTTAAGAGTGAGAGGGAGGGACTCGCGATACAGCTTCACTTGGTCGTACGGCGCGCTCGCGTTCTACGTCGCACTGGCGGCGCTCCTCCTATCTAGGTCTAGGTCATGGGGCCAGACCGCCACGTTCGATAAGTTTATTATTACGTGCAGCGGGATTATTCTTTCGCGACGCGATCCCGACGAATTCCTTCCTTTCGCCAGGAGGAAATCTCCCACCTCTCGTCGTGAATTCACTCGGGCGGACGGAATCAATTGTATTTTAAGATTAAAATGTCGCGTGTTCGTTGCACACACCTATATCGCGCATACGCGATCCAGAACGAGTCCGAATGGAGTCCGAAAGGGTGCAGTGTAACATATCGATTCAATAAAACGAGACAAAAGGAATGCGAAGTGGGGTGCAGATCGAATATTCCTACTTGTCAGGCAATCCCGGCGTTTTCTCGCTCGTCGTAATTCGATTACGAGGCAAACAAACGTCCTAACGAAAAGGAGGCTTGGCGCGCCTCGCTCTTTTGGCAAGACGCACCAGCAATGGTTATTCTTGGCACGATGGTTAACGACGACGACGACGACGACGACGACGACGGGAACGAGGAAGAAGCAGGGACCAACGTGAGAGCGAAAGAGAGATAGTCGGAGCAAGCTGTTGACGATGGATCGACTGGGCAGTTGTTGCGTTCGCCAGCGACGAGGCTGACGATTCGTGGGAGATCTGCGTGGAGAACGACGGAGATTCGACGTCGTAAATCGGAAAGGGAGGGGGGGGAGGGGGGGACTCCGGTGACGGGAGAATTCCGGTAGAAAGGAATTAAAAGCCGCGGGAGATTGATTAATAAAATTAGAAAAGAGTCGGACGCGTCTCTCGGTCTGACGGCGCGGTTTTAAATCTCTGTAATGCAAAGCGAGAGCGGGACATGAATATTTCGAGCGGCGCACGCGTTTTTTTTCCCGGATAAACAGCTGTTATCGAGGGAACATCCCGAGGTCTCCGGGGAGAAGGTTGCGTCTATCGCGTCAGATATTCCAGGCAATTCGTTGATCGCGCGGGACGGCGTGGTTGTCGACCGTGGTCGAGGAGACCCGACGATGTTGAATAATGCTGGCCCTGCACTATTACTCGGATTCCGAAAGTGTTCGCGCCTCTTTAAGGCAGATCGCGGCCGCCTGGTGGAGCCTGGAGGACGACGATCCCGTGTACTCCAAGGACCTCATCAAGGAGTTTGAGGTGGAGAACCCGCCTCTCGAGGACGAGCTCGCTTGGATCCTCTCCAAAGGTATCGCGGCGTAAACGATCGTTAGGAAGCTGTGCGAGAGAGCGTCAGGATGGAACGCGCCTCGTGCTTGTAAGACGTAATCGACGAAATTTTAAATGTCGCCCTTGCATTCCAGTTCAGTTGATTCGGTCGATACCTATTGCGGATGCCAATATCAATATTGTACTTGAATCAGAAATATTCTCCCTCCCTCCCTCCCCCTCTCTCTCTCTCTCTCTATCTCT